TGAATTTTTTTTTCGTCGCATAATTATTATTCGTCTTCAATCTATTTATATACAACTCATCCGATTATACATTACAACTTTGGTGTCTGGTCCGTAAATATTACCAGACTAGACCAGAATGGAATGCTTCGTTACCGGTAAAAACGGTCTCGTCACTGCCACAGTATGTAATGAAATATCGAAAAGAATATGCTAAGGAGAAATCAGTCGAAAACCCATCCTTATTACTTTATGCTTGAATAATTCAATCTTATTTCAAAAAAGGTCCAATAATTCTATACAAAACCCGGCTTGTACAAGTAATGACATCGTCAGCAACTCCTATTTTCCATCTCTTCTCTTCTCTCTCTCCATTCGATTCTCTTCAATTAAATCCAAACCTCATCGATACTGATTTCACCATCGAGTAAATATTTATATTCCGATAGCGATCAATGGTCTATTGTGATGCGTTTTACTAACATTTTAAATAAGTTAAACTTATACTACATAAACATCATCATCATCAGTATATATATTCATAATTCTAATGCTGAAAACAGCCACCCTTGTCTGTGACTCCTCTGACATACGGTAGTACCGCAGGTACACGCTTGACTGTGGCCGGCTTCACTCGGTCACCATGACGTAGGCGCGGGACCCGAAGCTCGTCTTGCAATACTTGCTTGACGTGCTCGACTGTGGCTGGCTTCACTCGGTCACCATGACGTAGGCGCGGGACCCGAAGCTTGTCTTGCAATACTTGCTTGACGTGCTCGACTGTGGCTGGCTTCACTCGGTCACCATGACGTAGGCGCGGGACCCGAAGCTTGTCTTGCAATACTTGCTTGACGTGCTCGACTGTGGCTGGCTTCACTCGGTCACCATGACGTAGGCGCGGGACCCGAAGCTTGTCTTGCAATACTTGCTTGACGTACTCGACTGTGGCTGGCTTCACTCGGTCACCATGACGTAGGCGCGGGACCCGAAGCTTGTCTTGCAATACTTGCTTGAAGTGCTCGACTGTGGCTGGCTTCACTCGGTCACCATGACGTAGGCGCGGGACCCGAAGCTTGTCTTGCAATACTTGCTTGACGTGCTCGACTGTGGCTGGCTTCACTCGGTCACCATGACGTAGGCGCGGGACCCGAAGCTTGTCTTGCAATACTTGCTTGACGTGCTCGACTGTGGCTGGCTTCACTCGGTCACCATGACGTAGGCGCGGGACCCGAAGCTTGTCTTGCAATACTTGCTTGACGTGCTCGACTGTGGCTGGCTTCACTCGGTCACCATGACTTAGGCGCGTGACCCGAAGCTTGTTATCGTGCATAACTTGCTTGACGTGCAGAAGCTCGGCCGCCAGATGTTTTCTGTCACAGATCCCCTGTGATCCTGAAACAAGTATTTATCCACGGTAGCTAACTGTGAAGGATGATGGTGAGATTCACCATTTAAATATCGGTTTGTTATGGGTGTTTTCCCATACACAGTGTGACCAATAGTGTTATCAGGATTTCGGATGACTAAAACATCTAGGAAATCTAAAGAATTATTTGCCTCTAACTGCATTGCGAATTGCATTTTAGAATTAATGGAGTTAAGGTGGTCAAATAAAATTATTGTAAATTTAAATACAGAACTTAAAGAGTTTGGATCCGTCGTGTTGCTGAAGTTAGTCACTGCGTAGTTACTGCTTTAAAATAAAAATATATTGTATTCAGTGAACTTGATGTGGTGTTCGTGGAAACGGAAGCCTGCTTAGAATTTTCTCAGTAACACATTCTACCACCAAACAACAATGCACTCGATGCTATAGTACGGTTTGTAGGGAAATATAACCAGTATTATAAAAAGTGAGGTATTTGTATTATTTATAGATTCCTTATTGACATATAATCTTTATTTATTTGAAGTTTATTGCAAGTGTCCATGATCTGAAACAGCTACTCACGCATCTACTTAAAAAAAGTTTTACGCGTCACGCTATTTTGCAGTACCCACTCGAAGAGGTCACCTAGGCAACTGTAGCCTTTTTTTTCGAAGTTCGTAGGTCACGTGTCACTTAAATGTTATGAAAGTACTAGCCACCCACTCCGACTTAGCCCGAATGGAATCTATTAATGTGGTATTATTTATGTTTAATAAAATCAAAGACCATTTATTTTATCATTTTTTTAAAATCTTTTTTTTATAAATTTTTTTTATAAAATGTTTAAGACTGCGAGAGGACCACGTTCTCACAGAATACTAACGTGAAATAGCAGCTTAATTCTGTATGGTGAGTGTAGAGAACCATAGATTTTTTTGGTTGGAAACGGGGCATTACATGTTAGTCGTCAGGGGTGACAACCCATCTTCCATTTTGATCCTTAATCGTGAATAGACGTAGATGTGTGTGGGCTATACCATCAAGTGGACTGTGTGATCGATTATCATAATTATTCTATAAAAAGAAGCTTCGTCTTCAGTATGTCAAGAGGTGCATTCTCGGGAAGGTTTATTTCTAACAGTAGGTAAAAGAAAGCTTTCTTGATTATAGTGACAATGAAGAAAGGTAAGGTAAGTAAGCAAGCATCTCACCTATAAATCATTTTATTTATTAAAATTACCCCCGATCAGTTTGGAAATTTTCATCACAATCAGTTCATTCATTTCAAAGACTAGGACAGACAAAAAGACAATTTCTTAAAAAAAATGTTGTTTCTCTCGTAAAAGCATGCAAATAATTCCCTGAGCTTTATATAAGCCAGTTATTTCCTTATTACAGACAGAATTGCAATTATATTTATATAAGTTAACTAAGTATATGATTCCATTTTACTTTTCGATGTTACTGTGACAAATATCACTGTGTAATATTATATTGCCGCTCGCCAAATACGGTCATATTTTCTCATCTTTTGTTGTTTACGGAATCCAAGCACTTTAACGTAATACTTATGTAATGTCATTTGTCAAGGAGAAAATGCGGTGAAAATTCAGACGAAAGTTTCTTAACATAAACATTATTTTAAAAATGATACACAATTTCTTATTTATCTATTGAAAATATGTTTATAGTTTGTTTCAGACACATTACAGTGGCGTAGAAAATATTTGATTTTATAAGTCAAGGTAAAAAAGGATATTACTGTTATGATTTTTTTTTAAATTAAAATGTATTATAATATATAACATTTTATTTATAATAAAATACGGAGTAGTGAAATTAAACACCCTGATTCCTTTAAACGTGTTTGACACATTCTTTTGTGCGTAATCTCTATAATATAATAATCAATTGCTGTCCGTGAAGGCTGATTTACACAGGGACAGTAACACGCGCCAGTGTTTTTATGCAGTCAGTAGTCGTCGAAACTTCTTTAGGGTCCCACGTTGTTGAAGTAAGTAAGAAAAAATAAATTCACGGAAATGGCAGAATGATGGAAATGTTAGAAGAGATATCTAAAAAGAAACGACTTTGGATAAGAAAACATAAATTATATAATTAATACAGTTAGCATGCATGATACTGTGTAAATAAATATACCATGCATGCTCTCAGTAATGTAAATATGCGGTCATTTACCCTCATTTATTAATCTATATATTTTATTATTTTATGATACGACGCGACGTCACCCTACAACACTACGCCAGCGACTGACTAAGGTTGAACACTGGCATGGGTGGCGTGGGGAGTGGATTGACTTCAAAATATTTAAGCAGGAACATTCGAGTCAGCACTGACGCGACAGCGCTGTACTGACTCCAAATCAATTTACATTATTTCAATAGCGGGTCAGCACTGAGTTTCCTCGAATTTGGAGCCAGTTGCTGTTCCCGTGTAAATCAGCCTTTAGTCTCGCTAAAAGTCAAAAACGACTCCACCTATTATGATGAAAATTTTAGTGTGTGTTAGAAAGGGCCATTGGATGGTTTAGTTTCACAATTGAAATCAATAGGTGGCGTTGTTGTCGAGATACAGAAATCACTCGTGCGAAGCCGGGCGGGTAGCTAGTACGTAATACAATACCAGAACTTATTTAAAATTAATGAATTAAATATCAATTTTTAATTTTGTCAGTTATAACTTCCATAAAAGTAGTATACAAATAGAAAAGAAAATAACTTAATCTTTACGGGCAACATTTCCTGATGAGTATTGGAACTATAGTTTTTCTTCTGAGTTTCAAGTCTCGTTATAATTAAAGTGATTCAGTTTTCTAGAATTGAAAGTGCATTTCTTCATAACAAATTGAAATAGCTTTTGGTTCAACTTCTTACTGCAATAAAAAAGAGTAAAATCATGAAATAAACTTATATTCTTTGATTAATTTAAAATTTTAACTTTTATTAAAAAGTAAAAGCCGACTGAAAACAACGAAAAAATAAAAATGTTATTAACTTAAATTACCTTCTAAATTCGGTGCTAAAAAAGTTATCTAGAAATTATTATTCTTTAGTTTTTGTTCTATTTCTTTAGTTATTTGAATTAGGGTTTTACATAAAAAAATCTACTGAATAATTAAACAAAACAAAATTGAATTGTTTGGCGGCGTCTTTCTGATAACAACTCAATAATGATATTAAAAATGCGGTATTAAACCAAGCGCAACTTTGGTAGCCCTTACATCCCTGCCGAACATAATTGTGACGGTAGTTTGAAGCAAAATTTCCGTTAAATTAATAATATTACTTAGACGGGCCCAAGCTCGCACGATTGTGCCGGCTATCTACTTTGCATTGGTGTGAGTGAGACAAGTTGCGTACGAGCCGCTCTTCATGTTTCGACCCGTTCATTCTGACGATCATCGCCACCTGTGTCACACCACGTGTTGGTAAGAATATTTTACTTATTTTTAAAGAACTCATAACAATTGTGGTATTATTTTATTACATATTAATTATTTTACACAAAGCTGAATTAGTTGTGTCGTTGTTTTAGGTTTAATGTACGAAAAATTAAGTAAGAAATTTACCGTCACAATTGTTGCACGCCGGCCCCAATCAATAAAAAAAATACCATTTTGGCGGGAAACATGTCTCAGCTCGATGATGAAGATATTGAAAATTTACTGCAGCAATCTGACCTAGAGGATATAGGTGATGATGAGGACGACACATGGGCCCCGGATGCTGAAAATGACGGTTTATCTGATGATTCTGAGGACGACATGCCTCTGTCTTCACTGCCGATTTCTCGTGAATCTGATGATGGAAAATGGATTAAAAAGAAGTTCCGTGGTAGGCCTACCGCAGTCCAACAGCCTCCAGACCCAGGTGAGCCACCAAAATCGCCAGCAGAGTATTTTGAAAACTATTTTACTGGGGAATTATTTGAACAGTTTTCGACTGCCACTTCACAGTACTATATAGCTGAAAAGGGGTGTGCAATGAAGCCACAATGCTCGCCAGGTGAGATTAAAAAGTTTTTTGGGGTTCATGGTATGATGAGTCTTGTCAAATGTCCTAGGATGAAGATGTACTGGCATCAGAAATTTAAATACGATCCTATTGCCTCGGCGATGTCTCGTGATCGTTTTTTTTTATTACGAGTTAATCTGCATGTTGTTGATTATAATAGCGTTGATGAGGACGAAAAGGCCAGGAACCGTTTGTGGAAAATACAGCCTGTGAAAGACGCTGTTAGAAATCGTTGCCTGGCATTGCCTCGAGAAAGCACTACATTCTCCATAGATGAGCAAATGATTCCTTTTACTGGCCGATGTCCTGACAAGCAATATGTGCCAAACAAACCTAGACCTGTAGGCTTAAAAAATTTTGTAATTACAAAACCACAGGGCCTAGTACTTGATTTTGAAATATATCAAGGTGCTACAACTGACTTGCCCGATAGGTCTTTTGGTTTGGGTCCCGCCGTAGTCTTGCGTTTAGCAAGGACTCTTCTTGGCGGAAACTTATATTTTGATCGCTACTTCACGACGATCCCTTTGCTCAGAGAACTAAATGACAGGCACTTTGATGGAACCGGCACAATCATGGCTAATAGGTTCAAGAAAACTTTGTACACTTTTAAAAAAAGATTCTGCAATGAAGAGAGGTGAATGGGAAGAGATCGTAAGCCCGGATGGAAAACTTTGTATGGTGAAATGGAAGGATATGAAGAGCGTGCTAATGATTTCATCAATACACGGTGGGGACCCAAGTAGCACTGTATCACGATGGGATAAAAAAACAAGAGCATATCAAAGCATACCATGCCCAAGCGTTGTACAAAATTACAATCAAAACATGGGTGGCGTGGATTTATGTGACCAGATGTTAGAAACTTATAGGACATGGTTCAAAACAAGGAAATGGTGTTTTAAGGTCATTATCCATCTTTTTGACCTTGCCATAGTAAATTCGTGGTTTGAGTACAGGGAAAATGCCAAACGAAACAATTTGCATAAGTCTAAGATCATGGATTTACTGAGCTTCCGTTTGTCCATTGTGGAATATTTATTGGGTGAACCAACCAGAAAACGAACCAGAGACGACTTGGAACTTGCTGAAATGCCAAGTACATCTGAGTACAGACCAGCTCCTATGCCGACAGTTGATAAACGCTATGATGGCTATAACCATTGGCCCATATTCGACACACTTCCAGCTCCTAGAAAATGCAGGTTATCTAACTGCTCCAGTCGATCCCGTGCTCGTTGTTCTAAATGCGACGTGTATTTGTGCTTAACTAAAGACAAGAATTGTTTTTTTTCTTTTCATAATAATATCTAAAACTACTTTGTTCAATAATCGCCTAATTAAATGGATCTCATGTTTGAATACAATTTTCTTTAAATGTATAAGACTGTTAAAATAGTTATGTTAACTTTTATGATTGATGATTGTCCTAAGTTCCTATTATTTTACTAAGACTTTAAATAAACGAAATTTCAAATTTCCATATTTTTATTTCATCTATAACAATAGATAAATATATTATAACACACAAGAATCTCTAATCGTAGTCGTCTGTCTCTAACTGTACTCACGAACAGTATGGCCCCAGTTGAAACAATTGTGACCCTCACAATTGTGACGCAGTAACACTAGGGCCCAGGTAAACACAATTGTACGCCACCTGAAAAACATTGAAAGAAGCCTTATATCACTGTAAACAGGTCATACCAGTCTTCACTATACCTCGAAGACTTTAAATAAAAACAATATGTGATCCTAACCCACGCGGCGTCGGCGCCGGTCTGTAAGGGGTAGACATTCCATCTATGAGGCAATCTGTGTAAAAAGCCTATGTTAAGCAGTGGAAATTTGATGGGCGTTAATGATTAATGAATCAAGATACAGCTGGCTTTTCCATAAGAACTCACTTACTAATATCATTCCTTATTTCTATCGTTAAGTGTATTATACCCAAATATGTTTTTGTTTAAAGGATCATTTAAGGGATTCTTTACGTACGTAATTTCCCGCGATGACTGTCGTTGTTATAATCGGTTCGAAGACAGAACAAAATCAGCAGCAAGAACGGGGACGCAAATATTATTTTTGTGTTCAAGCTTTATTTAAATAAAATACTATTTCAACATATAATGGCTGCCTTACGTTTTACGTCTTTAGTGTGTCACAGACTTTAAACACAGTTTTCTTTCTCTTAGTAATCCTGATAATGGAAGTCGATTCATCGAAGCGCTCTGGGGAATTTAAAGGGATTCGCGTCCAATTACCGATTGTTTTCCTGAATAATTGTGAAAATGCCTATTTTCTTTATTTCTGCTTTTTTTAAATCTAATATATTTAACGCTGACATGTAAACAGAATGGTGAAATTAATTGCTAACGATTTTTCTTCATTTGCAGTCTATAAAAGTCGATTGTAACAGTTCACAGTTGGACATGGGCCTTTCTCATTGCAGGAAGGATTTGTCATAGTTGCCGTACTTTCACAATATTAGATGTGTTCTAACTTTTTAAACGTTTTAACAAGGAAGTGGTCTGATTCGACTGTGTGCTTTTTAATGTGTTATTTCAGAACTTTTTTCTGGGTGAACCGATTTTGATGACTCTTTTTTTATTTGTGAGCTTGGAATTTTCGTGTGGTTTTATATAAATTTTATTAAGATATGACCCGTAGTTTTTGAGTTATCCTTAATAATGCGTATTTAATCGCCTGCAAATACATCGATAATGTTCTAATTTTATTTATATTGAATTCGGTTGTAAAAAAAATTACTACTTGCATCATTGAAGTAATATGTACTTACGCACTAGAACAGCTATCTCAAACAAAAAATGTGCGCTACTCTGTATTCGCGCGGTTGTTTTTTTATCATAGAATAAACATAGGTAGAATGATCCGTAGGTAATATTACCTAGATTGTATTGTTAAACAGGTAAATTATATCGAGAACAATATTTCATCATCATCATCATCACAGCCCTTCACAAGTCCACTGCTGAACATAGGCCTCCCCCAAGTAATGCCACAAAGCACGGTCCTGAGCCACCTGCATCCATCGACTTCCTGCATATCTTACCAGGTCGTCACTCCATCTAGTGGGGGTCGCCCTACACTACGCCTACCGGTACGAGGCTGCCACTCGAGAACCTTTCTTCCCCATCGGTTATCGGTTCTTCGAGCTATATGGCCGGCCCATTGCCACTTCAGCTTACTAATCCGTTGGGCTATGTCGGTCACTCTGGTTTTACTGCGGATATCCTCATTTCTGAGTCTATCACGCAGAGAAACTCCGAGCATAGCCCTCTCCATAGCTCGCTGAGCGACCTTGAGCGTCCTCATACGGCCAGCAGTGAAGGACCACGTCTCTGATCCGTAAGTCATCACTGGCAACACGCACTGGTTGTACACTTTAGTTTTCAGAGATTGAGGTATACCTGACGAGAAGATGTGTCGTAATTTCCCGAACGCTGCCCAGCCGAGTTGAATCCGTCGATTGACCTCTCGGTCGAAGTTGGACTTACCTAGTCGGACTATTTGTCCCAGGTAAACGTACTCGTCAACAACTTCGAGCATAGTGCTCCCAACAACTACCGGCATAGGTGTGACATGGACATTAAACATGATCTTTGTTTTGTCCATGTTCATCTTAAGACCTATCCGTTGGGAGGCACTATTGAGGTCATTGAGCATAGTGCTTAAGTCCTCCAGCGATTCTGCCATAAGGACTATATCGTCGGCAAATCGAAGGTGAGTGATGTACTCGCCATTGATGTTAATACCGTATCCTTTCCAGTCCAGTAGCTTGAAAACGTCTTCCAAAGCAGCGGTGAAGAGTTTCGGGGATATAACGTCACCCTGTCTTACACCTCTCTGCAGTTGGATAGGTTTCGAGCTCTGGTTCTGTACTCGGATAGCCATCGTAGCCCTACTGTACAAACACTTCAGCACTTCGATATACCGACAGTCAACTTGGCACCGCTGAAGGGACTGCAGCACCGCCCAAATTTCGACGGAATCAAAGGCTTTCTCATAGTCCACATACGCCAGGCAAAGTGGCAAATTGTACTCTTCAGTCTTCTGTACAATCTGCCGCAGGGTATGTATGTGGTCTATGGTACTGAAGCCTTTTCGGAAACCGGCTTGTTCGGGAGGCTGGAAGTCGTCGAGTCTGCGTGCGAGACGATTCGTAATGACTCTCGAAAACAGCACGTAGACGCGGCTCAGAAGGGAAATCGGTCTGTAGTTCTTCAAGAGAGCGTTGTCGCCTTTCTTAAAGAACAAGACCACCGCACTTCTGCTCCACGCCTCTGGAGTAGTGCCACCATGGAGGACGGAATTGAAGAGCTTCTGAAGGACTTCAAGTACCGGTGTTCCACCCGCTTTCAGAAGCTCCGCTGTAATTCCATCCTCGCCTGGGGCCCTGCCGTTTTTAAGGTGCTGGAGAGCCATTCTAATCTCGCTTAGACTGACGTCCGGGATATCATCGGAATAGTGTCGGATAAGACTTGCTCTTGGATCGTTACTCACACTTGCGTGTGGCTCCAACGATGATGTGTACAGCTGCCCATAGAACCTCTCAATCTCACTCAAAATCTCAGGTGTCCCGGAAACGATGCTGCCACACTCAGTCTTCAGCCTTGACAGTTGGCTCTTACGGGCAGACAGATCTCTGGCAAAGACTTTGGAGCCCTGGTTCCGCTCGATCGCTTCTTTAATACGAGCAGTATTAAAGTTACGTAAGTCTCGCCGCATGCATTTGGAGATCTGTCTGTTCAGTTGCCTGTATGCTGTCAAATCTGTTGACGATTGCAGCCTCATCTCCCGTCTAACAGCCATGAGATTAAGAGTGTGATCGGAGAGTTTTTGTGTTCTTCTGCGGCGGGTCTTGCAGAACTTAGCTCCGACCGCATGGACAGTTTCCACGAGCTTGTCATTCACATCGTCCACTGCATTGCAATCTTGTAGGCACTGAAAGCGGTTGTGTAACTCGAGCTGAAAGTTTTCGGGATTTTGAATTAGAGCACGAGGGGGGACGGAGCGTTGACTTCATTAGACGAGACCTCTCCAACTTAACGTTTAGGTTCAGTGTGCCTCTAACCATTCGGTGATCGCTGCCAGTTTTCACCCTTGCGATCACTGAGACATCACTGAACAGTTGGCGTCTGGTCGTCATAATGAAGTCAATCTCATTTTTTGTCGAACCGTCGGGGCTCGACCAGGTCCACTTCCTGTGGGGCCGCTTCTGGAAGAAAGAGTTCATCATAAAGAATCCCTCTTTCTCCATAAAGTCGGCCAGCTGCTGGCCCCTTCGGTTCCGTTGCCCTACTCCAAATTTCCCTAACTTCAGCTCACCGTTTTCTTTTGTGCCTAGTTTTGCGTTGAAGTCTCCCATCAACACCGTGTAGTGGGTTTTGGAGGAATGCATGGCTTTGGAAATATCCTCATACATTTCCTCCACCTCTTCATCGGAATGTGCCGAGGTTGGTGCGTAAACCTGTATGACCTTCAGCGAATACCGTTTGGTGATTCTGAGTATCAGGTACGCGACCCTCGTCGACACACTCCCAATCTTTACAACGTTGTTGACGAGAGACTTGTGGACTATAAATCCGACACCTCCTTGGGACAGATGGTCGCCCTCCCGGTGATAGAACAAGTTGCCGGATTCGAGAATCACCGTGTCCTCCCCCTCTCTTCGGACCTCGGATAATCCTATAATACTCCAGCGCAACTTGTCTATCTCTTCTTCCAGCTCCAGGATCTTCTCGTCAGTCCTCAGTGTGCGTGCGTTAAATGTTGCCAGGTCGAGTCGTCGTAGGTGGCAACCGAACCTCCACCGGAGATTCTTAGCACCCCCTGCCCCGCCGTTACCATGGTCGCTACCGTAGCCAGGAATAGCGGGGCCGCCGGGGACTGGGGGCCGTCTATTTGTGTAATTGTTCATGGGGGGTATATTGCCATAGTTGCCACGCTTGGCGAGCGGGTTGGCAACCGCAGTTTTTTTTTTGTCGTACAGTTGCTATTATCAGGAAGATGCTGCTGCCCATCTCCTTTCTGTGTCCCTCTGTCGCCTTTTGACACCCACGGGAAGATATGGGGTAGTGGATATTCTTAACCGCCACTACACGGCATTTAAATTTTGTCATTAATTTTATATATTATATTTGCTTATTTAATATAATATTACATAATATTATATCATAATTACGTTTTAATGATATTTTTTATCGGAATATTTTAAAAGATATCTATGTCAAATATAAAAAAACATACTAACTGTATGTTTAACAAAACTTATTAACATAACATTTAAATTACAAATACATTTATTTAAATTAGAATAAGAGTCGTTCATAAATGCTGGGCACGAAAGAGTTAAAAATGGACGAATTTATTCCACTTTGACTTTGAAGTAGAAACCTAAAAATAAAATAAAAGAATAATAAGCAGATTTAAACATGAAAAATTTAGCATAATTATAATAACTTATATATGTTTCTACAAAAAAATGTGTATAATAATATATTCGTCCTATACTTAAGTACCCACAGAAATGTCGCATCTGAACATATTAATTTCATAATCTATATTGGATAACACGAAATGGCGTCTTAGGAATAATTTGTTTA